GTTATTATTTTCAGACCATTTGAACTGGAGCCCATTTGGAGGTGCCTATCCAAACTGGGCCTTTCTTTTTGAAAACACAGTATCCTACCACGAAGAAGTGTAAGCTTTGCAATCAGCATTAGACCTACAAAAGAAAAGCCAAAAATGCATGAAAGATTTCACTATTAGAATTTGAATTAAACATTATCAAAATTATTTACATAGTTTATCCTTTGGCATGGCTACTAGTACTTTACAGACTACAGGTTTCACTTTAAAGCATTTAGCCTTTACCAGCTCACTTAAAAGTTTAAGACCTGAAAAAAATTAAGTTGGCACCTTTAATAGTATGTTAAGAGATTAGCTGTTTCTCTTTTTCTACTTCAGTAACAACAATCCTGTGAAAACATTATACATACTAAATTATTAATTCTGTCCTATTCGTAACCACTGGCAGATCTAATCATTAAAGTCCAGGTCAGGATTATTTTGGAACGGATTGATTTTTGGACTGTGGTAATTGCCACAGGCAATTTTATCACACTGTTTACAGGAGACTGGTCATTAAACATAACTCAGCATATAAACTAATGATTTTTGTCTCCATTACTTTCATGCCAGGCCTTTCAAAATAACCTGCATGCAATTTTTTTTTACATGCTAGTTCATGTCCCTTGTCATACATGATTTGTCATGTCATATCACTAAAAGACAAAAACTCGTTTTACATTATTTTCCATCTATATGTAATGACTTTCAGCCACCTCTAAAATGTCTTCAGATGTCTGATTACATTGGTGCACACCAGCCGACGGAGAAAAATAAGATTAACCAATAATATGGTTCATCTCCCCCTCTCATCCAAACCTATCACTGAAAGAAAATGCTCTGCCAGCTCAGAGATCCTACCTGAAACTGTGTTTTACTCTGAAATTTGTCATGGCATGGTAGAAAACGTGTTACGATTTTTCATGCTGAAAGCACAAACACACATATTAGCACGATCAATCAACATAGAATAAGCCCGGAATCTAGCCTAAACATTTCTCAAATACTTATTCAATGGAAATTCTAAGGTAGCAGACAGACAACTTATGGCTTTAAGAATGAGTGTATTTAGCAGCTACAACAAAAACAGATTTTAAAAACCTCTCCCTACTAATGGTGATTTAATAAACATGAACAGACAACATTTACAGTGGCTTTGCCTTTTCTGGCTGTCCATCATCCAGAATAGCATCTGTGTATTTTCTCTTTAGGTGCTCGTGCATCTTGCTACTGCCGCTGAGGTATGCCATCAAAACTTTGCACAGTGTACCTTTTTTGTTTTGTGCTAATCTAAAGTACTCCTATACTTTCAACTTTGGGTCTTTGGAAACTTTTAGAAACCTCTTTCACAGCCAAGTCAGACTCTGGTGCAACAAACAAGGATCTTTTATAACTGAATGGTCCGATGACTGGAGCCAAAAACAACTAACATCATGCACACAGCAATTCCGTAGTGGTATTCAGGAAAAGCATTTGTTATTTGAATTGAAGTGTTTTAAAGATCAAAAATAATGACAATGCATCTATTTAAAATATTGATGTCAATGCATTTTCAGTGTCAATGTCATTGATTATGACAACTAATGGCGGCAGCCTTTATGCCTGGCTGTAGAGGACATTCAACTACAGCTCAACCAGCCAAACAAAAGACTCCAACAAGACATAAAACTCCACAAATAAAGTACTTTGACTAGCCTTGGACGTGATTCCTGCTGTTACCGTGCTGCAGAGACTGTTGTTGAAAGATACAGATGAGGCGAATGGGATCAAAACTATGAAACATACTTTCCTTACATCTGTACAGAAGTGCTTTTCTGATGTGGAACAAAACCACCTCTTCTCCACTGCAACATTACTTGATCCAAGGTAACTAATGTTAGCATAGCTAGCTAATGCATTTAACATAAGCTAGATTTTAAAAATGTATCCGTTAAATTACACTGCTCACATTTACAATAACAACTACTTAAGTCAAAGTAGGTTACTCTGTATGGTATCAGACTCAGCAATGGCAAGCGCTAAAAACATGTACTCTTACTCAATACTCTGTCTGAAAAAAACTTGTATCAGTGCATCACTAGCATGTTTTAAATATGGCTCTACTTTGTCGATTCCAAATTACCCAATGTCAGAAAAAATAAATTGCCAAAATATATTGTGTATCTTGAAAACTACAAGAATCGTGATATTACATTTTTGCCAGCTGTACAGTGGCATGAATATTAGATATTAATGAAGGTAGAGTTCAGATTCAGAATACTAAATCAACATACAGATCTGGTACCATCTCTGAAGCTCAGAGATACAGCAGAAGACAGACTCAGCCAGTGCTTTCTAAACCAAGTGTGTTTGAAATAGCAAATCGCTTCCCCAAACTGATCGTTAGGCCTAAAGCTCCATCATAAACCTTACCACAATATCTGGCAATGACCAGAGAGACTGTCAGCAGTTCCAAACTGTTGAGACAGCAGTAGAGTATAGAGTTGACAACAACCACCTTTCAATCAGCAGCAGAGAGCACTATGGGGTGAATGGCTTCTTGGAACAAATAATAGAACAACAGTGAGACAGACATTTGACAGTGAATCTGACATGCTTTTTGAAATTTCACTTAAAAGTCAGACAAGGCCTGAAATATCTTAGTCTTCAAGAGACAGAGGATTCTAGGAGGCCTTATCTGCCTTAAAACAACAAAACACTTTTACCAGGTCCTTATCACTGAAACTTGTCTGGAAAAAGATAACAACAGCTTGGTAACATCAAAATATTTATCATGTCAAATTAGCATTTCAGAGCAGAAACAGAAGCCCCTATGTCGAAGCACAGCACTGTTTGTTTGCCCTTTTCAGAGTTTGTAAAAAATTGAGCAAACCGTGCTTAGAAGAATGATGAGCACATGCAGGGCTTGCAAGAATGTAAACAGTTAACTTGCCAAAGAGACCTCTCAAAATATACAAAACCAGAATATCAGATGTATTAAGGATAATGAACGTTTTTACAGTGGATCAGATAGGTCTTGTAGGACTGTGCTCAAGTGGCAAAATTACCACTGTAACAGTCCCTAATGATGGTAAATACTCTTTTATCAACAGTTTAAAAACGTGTTATCCATTTATTTATTTCATGAAAACCACAAGACACTAGCACTCCCACACATGAACATAATAAGCTGTATAACATGTTGATGTGATATTCTACATTAACACCACATTTACTGTACCTAGCATAGACAGCAGCTGTTGAGCTGCTCTGGTTGAACATGCTCAGTGCTGTAAGCAGATATCATGCCAGTACAAACCGTATATGGTACAATGTACATTTTAGGGCATCCTCACACCAAAGCATTAGGTTCCATACATCAGACAAAACAGTTTCAGCTTTCAGGAAAAACTCTCGTTCATCAGGTGAAATGGGCAGTTTAAAGCGACCTCAGCTGAACTGGCTTCAGAGAAGGCACCAAGCTAAGTGGCCTCAGAGAGTGAAGTTTGTGTGACATTCACAATTCCTATCTTTAGAGACTAAATTACTTTTTGTGGCAAAATTAAGGCTGACAACATATGACAAGCACAGGTTTTACTGAGCTGTGTGTTTGTGTTTTTTTACTGACAAAAATAATTCTTAAACTCTCTATCATTGTGTTTTCTCCCACATTTGACTTCAGTACTAGAGAGCATCTCAAAATTACCAAAAGAAAAATGCAGCTTTTATTATTATTAGCAGTATTAGTAGTAGTAGTAGTATTTCTGCTAGTATACAGTAGATCTATATAGCAAACATATATGCAGAGATAAAAATAGTGATTTTTTCTTACAGTAATTTTTAGACAGGCTGTAACACTGAAGCAGATGTGGGAACAAACAGAGAGACAGCGTATGAACTGGAGCTTCACCATTATCCGTTTCCACATGATTATCAAATAAGAGGATTCTGTTATTGGCACAAGTTTAGTTTCTTGTTACATCACCAAGCCCATCACTGAGGTTCAACAGTACATCAACAAACTTGGTACTAGTCATGGAGAATTACAATATCACTATCCTGCATATAAATAATTGGAGTTGTAATAAGAACGTAACATGGAGAATCTATTAAGAGTTTTAAGGTTACAAAGATTCAAAAATATTTATTGAACCTTGATACACATCCTAAAAATATGTGAAGATATGATTCATAAATGGTATCCTCAATGACCTTAGCAAAACACTGAACAACTATTGCTTAGAATAAAGGTCACCAGTGTCATCCACAGAGGCGCAATACTGTAGAAGACATGACAAGATGTCAGAAGCATTTCATCATATGCTTATTCGCTAGCCAGTCACTTGAATAGAATCATTAAGGCTGTAACTATATATGCACTTGTGTCCAAAAATGTTTGTAGGCACCTGTGCACCCAGTGTTTCTTCAAAGGTCAAATTACTAGAAGTATTAAAGGTATTAATAGAATGTTTGTCCTCCCTTTGCTGCAGTAACTGTGTCTACTCTTCCGGAAAGGCTTTACACTAGATGTTGGAATATTGCTGTGAGAATTTGTTTGCATTCAGCCACAAGAACATTTGTGAGATCGGGTACTGATATGGGATGATTAGTTCAGAATCACAAATGCCACTCCAGCTCATCCCAAAGCTTTCTCATGCTCATCCATCACTCCAGAGAACATAGTCCCACTGCTCCACAACCCAACGCTGGTAGGGCTTTATACTCCTAGCTGACATTTGGCATTGGGCAAACTGGCTCAAGCAGGCTCAAGAGTGGATGCTCCAGACTGACCCATTCTATTGACAATGATATTACACAAGCTATGTGCTTGCAATCAAATTCCTGTGTAAGCAGTGGGTGCACCTTCAAGCAGCTAAATTAACTAATTAGAAGAGGCGTCTGAATACTTTTGGTCAAACTGCACATCCTCAATACTGGAAGTCTGAAGTATTTTGTTTTTTTTTAAACAGTTAAAGGACCTTCGTGCAACTTACCTTCAGCAGGTGGGTGTGCGGTCGTCATGGAGACCACCATGAGCAGTCTCAAGTAGAGCATGCACCGGCCTCTGTGCACGGCGGCCCAGCAGAGCCCCGTTAAAGCAGATTCGAGCATCAGGCCCTCCATGTAGAGAGACTCATGTTTTGTCCGAGGTGGTCAGAGGAGAAGGGTCCGCACTGTGGCTGCTCACAGAATTCCGCCCGCGCCGTGCCTCCAGCGAGCTGCACCAAGAGCAAACAATCGCTGTATGTGAAATGGAGAAATCGTGGCATGAGAGAGGTCTACAATGCAGTGCGCTCCTCAAAGCACACCACAAAACATGCACACAGATATGTACTGTTAAGAAACAAAACAGCACCAGTTCGTAAATCGGCACTATCTGCCCCCCGCTCTCCACGCCGCCAACAGGATACAGCGCCGACGAGGCTGAAGTTGGCTTCCTATTCGAATTTTCCCGTTCCACCTTAAATAGCGCAGCAATTCCATTCTGGCGCCTGAGGAACCTTGAGGCGCCAGAATGGAACTGCTGCACCATTTAAGGTGGAACGGGAAAATTCGAACAAGAAGCTGGCGAATAAGCAGCTCACTTCAGCTTGCAGGCGCTGCGCGAGCTGCACGCTTCCTTTGTTCCCTCGCGCTACTGCCGTTACTGCAGCTTTCAAATACAACAATTTCATTCAAATATAAACGGCCCACTTACAGACTAACGCAGTTAGCTAAAAGACGTCTGCGGCTGTCTAGTCCGTATCCAAGGTTAGCTAGCTTCATTAACGCTACGCTAATACGCAGGTACAGTTGGGATTAAGCTAGGTGTTGAGAGGATGTGGAAGGGCTGATTAACTGCAGTATGTGACTAAAACTGCCGGCTAGCTATGGACCTCACTCTTTTCTCATCAGCGTTAGCTAACTACCATTATTTCTGGTAACGTAGTGTAGCCGTAGCGTTGTCGTAACGTTAGCTAGCGAGCGGTAGGTTAACGAATTCAAGCTATAAATTACTGGCAACGTTAACGTCACCTGGCTAACGTTAGTTACTTCTCAGAACAAGCAAAGCGACTCTGACAGCAACGTTAACGGTTAACGGTTGTTATCTTGTGATGACATAGAACTACCTAGCAGCTTTATCCTGGTGAAAATAGCCAAGCTACAACTATAAATGTCTGTAGGTATTCAAGCTACATAAAGCTAGCTAAGTTAATTAACATCTGCGCTAGCTAATGCTTTGACAAAACGAAAATTTTTACTATCTGCCACACATGCTTTTGTGAAATCTCCGCTCGCTACTTAACGTTCACCGACAGCCCTTACCTTCAGCGCAGATTAACTGGATGTCCATATGAGTCGAGGTAATCCATACTCAATCTCAGATCAGGCGCGGGTCTAAACAAAAGTTTCTGTTTTTCCATGATCTCCGGACATAACGGGCTGTTTTTTTATGGATAGGTGCCTGATTCCTGCTCTCTCTGTCCGAGCATCCTTCCCTCCTCCCCTTCACGGGCCTAATGTGGAGATTTATTCCGATGAGCTCTACAGCGATTGGCTGGAAGCTCTGTCCATCATTCTCTGGGTTTGGTTGACTCCCCCAACGGCGTCTGCGCTTCCACGGCAACGCACACTTTGGTTTGGCCTTAGCAGGTAAAGCACAAATAACATTTGAATACAGCTCTAAGTTAACTGTTATGGTATTACAGCTAGGGTAATGATATCTAAAGTTTGTGGCTAAACAAATAACAAATTTCTCCATCGCAGATGTAGTTCGGGTTTAGCTGATGGAAAAAAAAACAAAACTTACATAAGAGACACTTCAAGATAAGAGACGTACAAAATTAAAAATGATGGTTCTTCAAGGTTCTTTAAAACAGGCAACAGTCGAGTTCAAACGGTTCTTTGCATGGTGAAATGTTTCTTCAGATTAATGGAGAATGTGTTGTATTTGATTCTACATAGAACACTTTTGAAAATGGTTCTATACAGAACTACATACAACACGTTTATTTGGATCCAAAAGTTTAGATTCTTCTTCTTCTTCTTCTCTTCTTCTTCTTCTTCTTATTATTATTATTATTATTTATATTATTATGTTTTGGAAAATTATAAAATCCCTAGGTAAAATATGAAACATGAAAAATGAAAACGTGTTACAAATACAAGTAATAAGAATTAAACGAGATTCTCTTTACTATCCATGGGCAAATGGACTTATATAATTAGAGCACGCTTATAAAAGAAAAAAGAAAGCATATTATAATATTCAAACAAAAGACACAGAGTCCCAATAGTCAAAAAAAAAAGCTGTAACGCGTTTCTTTTTCTTAGCCAGCTTTCATTTTGGACGATTATGCAAATACAAAAAGTAAGAAAGCGAGAATTTAAATGAACATATGTAGGCTCACATTGCCCCCTTGTGGTGATGAAAAGCAATTCAATGAATTCACCAAATTAATGGACAAATGAAAGTATATGAGAATTCATTTGTAGGAAAACAAATGAATTTAACTTAGATGTATGCAAAGCCATTTTTAACTTGAACAACAACCCCTGAACAACAAGCTATATGCTAGAATAAGTACAAATCTGTCAACAAACAGCTGTTCAGAGGAAACCACTACTTTTTTGTGCAAAATACTTGTGCCTACTGTCAGGCCTGAAGGAGGCAGTGGTCTTACTTTGCTTGTGACAGAGTTGGTCATCTTAACAGAGACCATGGCAACTAACATGGCTATTATAGCATAAGCATACATCATGCCATTCCATCGAGCTAGTTGCACAGTCCTTGCTTTTTCGGCAGAATAACGTCTCAGAATATATCTCAAATAACTATCTGCCAAAGAACAGCAGTGAAGGTCAACCAATGACTTTGTCTCTCCAGAACTCAGTCTCGCAAGCTTGAATGGAACAAAACGGACAATGGATAATTCAAAGCATGTCCTACATCTGTGCTTAAGAAAGGCTGTGAAGAAATGTCAGGTGATTTCCTGCATGTTTGTGAAGCTTAGGGCAAAAGCATGGCTGTTTAGAGAAATCCAAGATTTAGAGATAACTTTCATGATCATTCCTTTAATGCTCCCCTTGTGTTGTATGTGTATGGAAACACAGCACTGTGAAAAAGTCCCCCTTCATTTATTTTATTTCCAGTCAAAACAGCCATTAAGTACAAGTTATCCATTTTTCAGCATCAGGAAAAAAAGCAGAAAACAGATATTTAACAGAAAATTACACAGAAACCACAACAACTAAATACAATATCCATTTTTCGGTGCTTATTGTGTCTACGCTTTGCCTTTATTACAGCTTCCTTTATTTTCAGGAGACTTGCTTTCAGTTTTTCAAAGCAATCTGAGGGATATTTTTTACATTTCAGGTCTGGACTCTGGGTTGGTCAGTCCATTGTTCTGAGAACACCAGCAGGTTCTTTGTTTGATTTGCAAATTTTCTTTTTTTGCATATTTGCTTTTCTCAGTAACAGCTTCTTGACAGCTACACATCCTTTCAGACCTGTACCGTTTAATTATCTTACAGTAGAAAGATGGATTTTTTTTAGATCTGAAGCAAGAGTGTAGCTTGATTTTCTCATATTCTTCAAAGATTAAAGTACTGTTTATCTGATGGTGACAGTTTTGGTGGTCTTTCACAGTTGTTAGGAGTTCCATTTCCTTTATATCTTTTTCTTTTTCACTTGTTTTCCTTTGACTTTCCCATCCTTACTGGAGTGGATTATTTTATATCTAATCTCCTGAAAAATAAAGTTTCCAGCAAGTGCTCTCAAACTTTCGGTGCTGTACATACATGCTGTAAATTGTCTCTGTGTGTTTATGGGACATAGAATGTTATGTTCTAGTACTAAAGTGTACTCGGCCCTATGTAATAACGTAATATGTCAACAAGATCTTTTAAAAATTAAAGCTCTGTAAACTGCTGTATAACACACAAAGCTGATGACAGACATCAAATAATAGAAAGCATTATGAAACAGAGACGAATGCCGTGACTTAACAGTTTAATGTAAATCCAAGACAAAGTGTGATTACATTTCTACACATATACAATATGCATATGTGAGCATACAAATTCTCATTAATAACTCGATTCACCTCGGAGACCGAAAAAATGATCAAAAGTAACAGTGAATAACAAGCTATAACATAGTTCACCACAATGCGAGCCCCTTCTCACCCTACAGTTAGTAAATAGAACAATTAAAATAACTATATTCTTCTATAACCCAGATGTTTGTTAAAATCCTCCGTAAATTTACACTGCTATCATTAGTTGTCGAAGCCTAATAATAAACTCACTCAATTTTTCTACAACGAAAATTAAGAGAAGCACACAACATCTTAATGGTAACACAAGCGCTTAGTAGCAAGTACTCAACTTTTAGGAGTTAAATCATTCTTCTTATTATTATATTCATTTTAACATTCTATAAAGCCAGTAAAATATCCATTCTCATAACATACTTAATAATATTAGTCTAAGGTATAGGGTACACATAGCGCTACGTTAACAGATTGAAATAATGAGACATCACACTTCTTCAAATCCCCAATAAAGAAAGCTAAATAATAAAAAAAAGACATTAACAAAGAAGTATACTTGGAAATACTGCAGCACACAATAGCTTTGACAACAACTAATGAGATACACCATTGAGAAACCATACAGCAAAATCAGGGTCAGGGTCTGATGCTTTCTTAGGTCTTGAAACATTATAGAAAAATATTTAGTTTACATTTTATTGTGAACGTTTGTTGCTGTGCAAGTAGAAAAAAATGTTCATGTCACAGATGGCGGCAGAAATGGCTACAGTGCGTCACAGCTACATAACAGATTACACTGGTGATTTGTGTTGTGTGACAAACTGTAATTCCTGTATGACCAAGTCCATCTGTTTTGTGTTGTTATCTGTACATGGAGAATAGTTTATACTGTAGATAGTAGTACACTTTACTGTAAATCACCATGTAAACTGAAGTTATAACAAATACAAAGCGCTTTTAGGGCTGGTGAGTCAGGTTTCAGTCCATGACCAGCTTACCCGACAGAGAATCTGAAGAAGATGCGGTTAAAAATGACTGCAGACTGAGACCTCCACCTTGAGGTTAAAGGTCATTGCTTATTTTTTGGTTCTAAAACGTCATAAGGAAAATGGCCATTTCGTAATATTTGGCCTCTTAGCACATTTGCACATGCACAGATTGATGACTAAACCCATGACTATTCCAGCCTGCGCCCTGATGAGAAACCACTTTAAAACACAAACACTTAACAAAAGAGCCTGAAGACTGTGGAAGTGCTGTCACTGTGCCACCAACAGTTAAACAGAGATAAAACACTGGTCAGCTCCAATTTTGTTTAGCAGTGTGTGCTTTACGAAGCCTCTCATACTGATTGCATTATTAAGGGTCATACACTAGACAACCTTGTTTTGTCAGGTTCTAAAAATGCTTCAAGTAAATACCTAAGTATATACCTCACCTCAAGTACATACCTCACTGGGAATGTTTTTCACATTGGGGTCAAATTTGTCTGACATTATACTGTTTTGAGTAACTTAAATAAAACCAAGGTTGTACCACCAAGCCTTAGTAAATGACCAATACAAGAAGATTTCCATTTTGACCATTGCTTAAAGCTTTGATAGCTTGGAAGGCAGTGTTTTGACATGAAAATGAACTTGTCAGGAGGAGATAAAATCAGAATTAAAAAGATTTTTTTTGTTTGTACATATATAAAAGATGCTAACATCTCAGGCATAGCACATTTTGGTAATTATAAGGTCACTGGATCTACATTACTGCTTACATTTCTCAAAAAAGACACACATTGCATCAAAGCAGTACAACTTGTACATCACAAAAGCAAGTTATCACTTTGTAGGGTTAATAGGGCTTTATGACTGACTTCATGAAGTTCAGATGTGACAAGCCAAACAAAAGAGAGTAAAATGCTAAGAAAATAAACACTAATTTAGGTTATTTTGAAAAAACATTATCTTGATAAGCCTGTTTGTTCCTGTGAGACTTATTGCATTTCTTTTTGAGGAAAAATGTACAGAGTAACAGTAAAAAGATGACAGTTCACACCCACTAATAATTGTAATCATGATATATCAGGTGTTTTAGTCTCACATTGTACATTCATTTTTGCACTAGTGACCATTTTATTAAAGGTTTTACTGTAAGGTATCTCATTCTGCCCAAAGGTCACTACGGAGCACTACCTAGTTTTTAAATTTTATCCATATTTACTTCATAACATCAATAAAGCTGAAGAACAACTTCAACAACAAAAAAGTCAACAACATTTTGAATAAGATGGATAAGGGGCCTTATTTCCATATAGAAATCTGTTACATCTACATCAGATGAAATGTAGGACAAGGGGATTTTAACATAAACAACACTGACCAGTTTGAAACAAACCACACATTTTGAAGACTGGATTAATTTATAATGTGTAAGAAGGTATGAATCTG